CTTGTTCCTTGGGAAAAGACACCAGGCACCTTCTGGTTCCAGCTTCCTTTCAGGTAGCTGTAGAGAGCAATAAGGTTCCCCCTGGGCTTTCTCTTCTCCAGACTAAACCCCCCAGGTCCTTCAGCCCTTCCTCATCACACTTGTGCTCCAGGCCCTGCACCAGCTCCATTGACCTTCTCTGGAGCCTCTCCAGTGCCTCAATGTCTCTCTTGTCGTGAGGGCCCCAGGTCTGAAGACAGGATTCGAGGGGCACCCACACCAGTGCCCAGTACAGGGGGGACAATCACCGCCCTGGTCCTGCTGGACGCACTAGTGCTGATAGAAGTCAGGATGCTCCCAAGTGCAGGAATGGGCACTTTGCCTCTTGAACCTCATATCATTGGACAGAGCCTATCGATCCAGCCTGTCCAGATCCCTCTGCAGAGCCTTCCTGCCCGACAGCAGATCAACACTCCCACCCAACTTGGTGTCGTCCCCAAACTTACTGAGGGTGCATTCAATCCCCTCATCCAGATCATCAGTGATCTGGTTTTGTGATGCTAAGGTTCTAATGAAGATATTAAGCAACACTGGCGACAGTACCGAGCTCTGGGGGGCACCGACAGTGACCAGTCACCAACGAGATATTGGGGAAAGGGATATAGTTTATTGGCCCTAGAAAGTGTCCACCGCGAGCACAGGGTTCGGAAGATGTCAGAAAGCTAAGCTAAAAAAACCCAACTTCAACACCTGGAAAATGTTTTGCTTTATTTGCGAGTCTGCTTTTCCTTTGTCCTCTTTCTGGTTTTTCCCTTGACAAGATGAAAAGAGGAATGAAGAAAAGAAAGATAGGGAGGTAAAAGAGAGAAGAGAAAAACAACAACAGTAATAAAAAATGTGGTAACTAGAACTTTCTCAAACAGGTTTTAAAGTTTTGGCAGGATATGCAAGCATGACTTCTTAGAAAAGCATGCTGGGAAAGCACTTGGGAATTAATTAAATAATACATTTGTGGATGCTCTTTGCCATATTTTGGTTAGCTCTAGCAGCTCTTTCAGCTGAGATTGGACCTTCTCTGTTGCCTTTTCCACCGCAGTTTGACCATAAGGATGAGCATCAGGGTCACCCTTACAAATGGATGAACCTCTGCCATGGTGCTGTGGCCAAGAGACATTGGGGTTCAGCTCTGCTGCCCCTTTGGAGCTCGGCCTCATTGGCAAGGGGAACAGAAACTGCAGGCAGCAAAATGCCCCTTCTTTCCCTTTGGAGCAGTGGTCTTGCAGGCAATCCCACTCGCCAGAGGCAGTGGCTGAAGGAGTCTGTGGACTTTCCAGCTGCTGAAGACCGCAGGAACTGAAGGTTGGACGCTTTTGCGCAAAGGCCCATCTCCTGGATCCTCTCCCTTGCATCCTGTGGCAGGCAGAAAAATAGCTGCTGCCCGGCTCAACAGGG